AATCAGCTGATCGAGAGCCGTTCCATTATCGTTTTATGATATCAGGATCGTCCGTCATTAAATTGAATCAGAATAAACTCTTATCAATTTTTCTGTCAACTGCCCAATTCGCCAGCTCCCCATCCCCGGTCCCCGTCACTCGACGCTCGTCGGGGAGTGTATGAGTGACGAATGGGCGGCGAGCGGCCTGCATTTCTGTGGTTCGATGCTTGCTGGTCCGGTTGAAATTTCGTGTTATGCTTTTCTTCGTTTTGTTGGCTCCTTGTGGGTGCTACATATTTGAGAGTAACAAACTTATAGTTTATAAGTCGCTGATTCTGAATATACAACCCTCAAACTTGTGTTGTATAGCTTTCGTGTGGAAAACTCAGTTTTCCTGCGGGTGGTGCGCGCTCGGATAATCATGCGTCGGTCGGCGCTATCTGGATTCTCATACGACAATCGCGTGCAGTTGATAAATTGATCTCGCGAGGCGGTGGTCGATATTGGTCGTTGTTGATACTTGATGGATAAAACTAGAATGCGCCACGTACTTGGTAGCTCTGTTTTATCTCATTAAATGGTCGACTCGGCCACTTCACCAGCCTAAATATTGTTAATAAGGTTTGATTTAAAGATAAATGTTATAACGTGTTTTATGTTGTCCGGGTGGAGGGCTTCTGATAAAATGTTTGAGCTGCCTGCTTCTTGTCTCTCCGTTTCATATAAAAGGCATTCAGTAAAAATGTGTTTAATTGTGTGGGGAGTACCGCAGCTGGCACAAAGGGGTGGTTCTTCCTTCTTCATCAGATACTGGTGTGTTATCGATGTGTGTCCTATACGAATTCTATTGATCGCAGTTTCCATTTTTCTTGAGAAGTTTGGTGGAGAGGGCCATGTGGGGATGGTATTTTTAATTTGGTTTAATTTTAGGGTACCTTGATCCTTGCCCGTTGCCATGATATATGTTGTTTGATATTATTCTGGTTATGAATTTGGCGTCGTGTAGAGTAAAATAATTAGGTCTAATGGCATTAGTGGAGTTTAAAGCTTGGCGTGCTTTTTCGTCAGCCCTTTCGTTTCACGGAATTTGATTGTGACTGGGTGTCCATATTAGAGTAATTGAGTAGCCGGTGTGTGTAAGGTTGCATATCTGGTTCTGGATTTTTCTGGCGATCTCATTTGGATTGGAGATGTTTTCAATACTCCTCAAGGTTCTAAGTGAGTCGCTAAGGATTACTGCTTTATGTATGCAATTTGTTTTAATGAGGTCTAGGGCAAATGATATTGCCATTGCTTCGGCTGTGTATATCATAAAAAAAAAAAAAGTTCTACTTGATAAGCGGACACAAAAATAAAAAACCAAATAAAGATCTTTTTATTCTAAGGGTCCCACTTAACCCTCTGTTAGTCGCGCGCCAAACGGGGGTGATTAAACTAG